TAATGTCCTCCTTCAAAACAAAACCATTGATGAAGTGCACAATTTATCAAGAATGGGTACTGACACTGGACACATGGTTACCTGACCATGGTTACCAGGCAGCCAGTCATTGTCACTTGTAATCTCATGCCTGGCTGCCAAAACTCATCTCCCTGGCAATTGCAAAGGCATTCTGTTTTTTCTCAGTCTAGACTCTGTCTCTCTCATTTGGACTTGGTCTTGACTTGGACTCAAACCTCTTTGGACTCGACCGTTACGAGTCCTGGCCTTGATCTTGACTACAAAGGTGGTCTTGACTACAGCACTGGGTAGAAGTATAAAGAAGCATAACATGGAAATACTCAAGTTAAGTACAACTCGAAATGATTTAAGAACTGTACTTGAGTAAATGTAGTTACTACTGCTGTATCCTGTTTGTTTCAGTGTTGAAGATGTAAACACCAAGCAAAGTGAAAAAGAAAAATATGTATTTTGTATTAAAAAGTTTATCTATCTCTTTATCCCTCCATTTGAATTTCTTCATTTACCTGCTATCAGCAGTTACTGACAATGTGCCCCTGAGCAGGGCACTGCCATTGCAGCTGGCCCAGAGGTACCGCACAGTCTCAGCTGGATTTATGAGATGGATTTTGATGACAAATTGATTCTTAGCATACCTCCAGGTGAAGATCATCTTAATGTAACCGTGTGAAGCTCTACCCTACTTTAAATCTGTCTGTGCGCTCTGACCCAAAAATACTTTACAGGTGTAACTGCCCTTATTTTAAATCAGCAGCTGCTACCCCCTTCACTTTCTGAAACTGCAGTATAATCGCAGATGCACATAAAGAAGAGAGCAGGAAAAACACATTTGCTTACTAATGCTTTGGAATGGGTGAAGGCTGCAAAATATAATAACAGGTACAATGCACGAACATTGTCAGTTTTTAACCCCTAAAGGAAAGGCTTTAGCAGCAACAACAACAGAAACAAATTCCTTTATTTTGTACGTCATGCTGTTACATACATTTCTAATTTGTTCATTTAATTAATGTAATTGTTATAATACACTGAACAAGTATAGTTATTAATTTATGTAATACATACACTGATCAGCCATAACACCGTGACCACCTGGGCACCCTGGTGGTCATAATGTTCTGCAGCCCCATACCAACAAACAATGATGCACTGTGTGTTCTGACACCTTACTATCAGAACCAGCATGAACTTGGAATTTCCCCATTGTGTGACAAATAAAGGAATATCTTATCATAACTGTTTCAGCAGTTTGAGCTACAGTAGCTCGTATGTTGGACCACATGGTAAAAAATGCCTGGCCACCCTAGTTTGGTGTCAAATGCTGTCAAGTCGCATAGCATAATAATGATCTGTTATGGCCACATTTTAGACTAAGTGATAGAAAGTTCATTGAAAAAAGACATGTATTGTAAAAAATTGTCAACACTTATGTGCTACAATAATGTCATTTAGAGCTCATACGTCTTCATTTGGGGGCACATATGTGATTGTTTGTAATTAAATCAGCATATTTCTGCCACTCTTTAAAATCGCCACACTTTTGCCCTCCATGAATATTTCTCTAGATCTACCTGTGGTGACATGCGGTGCGCTGAAGTGAACTAAGTAAAGAAAGGAAAGTGATGAAGTAGTCAGTAGTTTTAACGACATTTTTCAATGTTTTGAACAGCTCAAACAAAAACCCATTTATATCCATTGTACTGACTGGAAGTCTTGGTAAATATTTAGAAACCTTAAATAACATTGAAACTATCTGTTTTACTGTATTTCCTGCTATAATATGTCAATAGTAGTAGGCAGAGTGTAGGACCGTATGTTTAAATCAATTCCTGTTGACAGAGTGTAAAATAGTGACAGCTGGGGACTCTACAGGGCTCAGAGGGATGAAGGAGCGTCATGACAGAGTCAGCTGCTCTCTAGAGAAAAAGAAATCCTGATGGCCTGTTTTATCTATTGGAAGCTGATACACCAGTATCTTCATCCTGGATCTCTCCTCATCTCCTCCCTTTCTCCTCTCACTCCTCTCAGTATCACTTTACTTCTCGTCTATCTGTTACACTCACATCTCCCACCCTGTCTCCCTTTCTTTCCTCATCTTATTTCCTTACTTAAGCTGATTCCCAAACCCTCTCCCTTCCTCTTAAGTCCTTGAGACATATTCATGGTAATGTCAGCCATGTATTATTATTATACCAATGATGTCAAATGTACCTGGCATAAACTCCATCTGTAAAGCAAAGTGAAGTGAAATGAGGTAACTATTATTATAACTATTTATTGTTTCCTCTGGCCTCCAGTCCCTGTACAACCTGGGGGTTCGGACTCTCATTAGGGGTCACCAAAGCTTTATTTGGAGTTGCAGGGCCTTCTTAATTATAAGACATGTAAGAAAACTTAAGAAATATACACAGTAGGCCTATATCTCAGTATTTGGTTCACTTTTATTTGTACTGTGCTTTTAATTAGGGGTCTGTCCGAGGTTTCTGCC